TGATGCAATAAAATCTCCTAATTCTTCTACCATATTCTTGTCTTCTTTTATTCTTTTACTTGATCATATATTTCATTATTATTTGTCATATAACTTCAACATCTCAATCTGGTGATTGACGTCACAACAAGTTGTATCAATCCTAACAGAAACAATCGAAAAGATATGAGCATTTGGCTTTCAAAACTACTGCGAGTTCAAAATTCCAACGGAAGCACACTACTAGTAAGCCAGTAACCAAAGCAAGAAAACAACAAATGAACTTTGAAGCAATTCAAAGTGAGATTCGAATTAAAGACATACATAGATTTACAACCAAGCAAATTGAGCTTAATCCTAGGTTTGTAAGCCTAGGAAGCAAGGTTTTTCTTTTTCATTGAACATCCGTCAATCGTTCCCCTCCATCCCCTTCGTTTCACAAACACTTCTATCGCCTTCCCGACCCATGGGTATGAGATAGATGGAGTCATGTGGGTTCGAGAGTGTGATGATGGATGGAGTTGCAATGTAGCAGTGATGAGTGGGTTTGGGTTTGGGTTTGGTTGAGGCTGTATGTAATCCATTTTGGACGTATAGTGTACGGTTAATTAAAAATAAATGAAAACATTAATAATTAATCGAGTGTATTAATCTATTTTTTAATTATTGGGCCGTACTGAGCCTAATTTCCTCTTTAAATTTTCATATGTAAAAAATATTTTTTTATAAAATTTTCTACTTCTTTTTTTCTTCAATATATTAGCCCATTGCAAATTGTCATCCCCTAACTCTACCGCTGAGTACCACTTGCGTAATTAATCTCTTAATAAGATATTGTTAAACTGCTTATAAAGTTTGGGGTGGGTGAAATTCATTGATCCTCCTTTAATAATAAAAAAAAAATCAATTATTGTTTTTGCNGGGTGTGTGAAATTCATTGATCCTCCTTTAATAATAAAAAAAATCAATTATTGTTTTTTCACTATATTTTTTTATACCTCCAAAATCCCCATTCAAAGATCTTAATTTGATTGAATATTAAGGTCTTGTCATTTCAATGGATATTTTTGCAAATAAATACTACTTGGTTGATGCATAGATATCATCTTCCTGATTTTAGATGTGGTACTCAACCTAGATGCTCTCGAAAAACATTTAATGATGAATATTCCGCACTACGAAGTGTTATTGAACGTTGCTTTAAGGATATGGAAGGCACGGTGGAGGATATTACAACATATGTAAAGTTATTATTTTGATAAGCAAATAACTATTGTTATGACTTTAGTGGCACTTCATAACTTTATAAGGGAGGTTATAATTGATTTGAAATTTCAAAAATACGAAGATTATATGCATGATGATGAAGACTCAAATATAAATTTGACACTCGATGGGTGTGGTTATTTGAATATTGCAGTTTGAGAATCTAGATGTTCTCTTGGATATTTAAATCGAATAACATTGTAATAAAGTACACGTCACATCTTGAAATCACTGAATACATCTCATATAAACTACACATACATTTTCCTGACATTAATATATCCAAATCTTAAATATGAAATTAAGAAAAATTAGATACGAAATCCCAAACTTACACATTCCCAAACACAAAAATGTATCTTGGAGAGCATATATCATGAACACAGTCATCAAATTATCAATCTTTTGCGATAATTTTAAGGATGAGTATGATTCGTGAATGCGAAACAGAGGATAAATAATGCGTAATATGGTGAATATTGAAACCATATGCTTGGAATATGAATCTTGATTTTGGAAAAAATATATTTCGAATTCAAATAGTTTTCGCAGCACACTCGCTGTATCGTGAATCTTAAATCGGCCAAAGATATGAAACATTACCTTAATACAAAAACTAGTAAATGAATGTTACGTTTTTGCACCAGGAAGAAATCCTTGATTGATAAATACGGTAGAAAGCAAAGAAAAAGGATGATTATCCCACAACTTGACATGGGATTTGCTCATGATAGAATTCTAGAGAGGTTCTGCTTAGATGAATATTATTTTCTTATGGTTTCTGATTTGAAATTGTTGCACTTAAATTTATATTTTATTCAATTTATTATCTTAGTTTTATTTTTAGTGTTGTTTCAAGTAATTTCATTTAAAACTTAATAGAAAAATAAAAATAATTTGTCATTATATTATTAACCTGGTAATAAATTTATATCCGTGTTTTATTGAAAAAAATAATATGATAATAAAACTATTACATTAAAATTATTAAGGATAAAATTGCCATTGTTAATACCGTAATAGCTTATGGCATAATCATACCAAACAGAAATCAATTTTTTCAGAAATCAATTTTCAAATATTAATTCAAAAGCTCTAGCTTCTGCTTCTCTTCTTCTACTACTCAAAGTAGCAGCATAAGCTATCCCGACGCTCCCTAAGTAGTCAGCCTTTTTTGTGCAACTATAAATAAAACCATCCTCTTTCTAGTTCATCCATCACATGTTGTCAGGTCATATATGGACTTGTTAGGTTTCATTGTATGGCATGACTTTAGACAAAATTAATGTTAATAAAAGAGTTA